CCGTCAAAATTCCAAACTGGTGATCGACTAAACTCTCGCGGGTTTGAGGATCACAGATTTTTTATGACACCCAAGTGTGTTGAACAGCAGACAGGGGAAACCCCATAGTTACGAGGACCGCTGTTCGAAGATGGAAGCCGGCAACTTAAGTCCGGGGACTTGGACTGGAGAACCACAAAAGGTCCCGAAAGGCTAGGCATGNTAAAACGGACGACCGCAAAGCTGCCTACCACCAACGTTGGGTGGTGGCGGCGGGACTCAAACCTCTGACCATAGGGTCCAAAACACACCGATACCAGCGACTAAACCACTACACCACCACAAGGGAGCTGAAAATGACCCCGTCAGATTACCAAAAGGAATGGAGAGAGCTTTAGCTGTGCTAAGAGATGAAGTGAGCCGATTGTGAAAAAGCTTGTAATAAGACTGTATAATCTCAAGAACGGGAAACCAAAGAATTACATGAACTGTGGGGTTAATGTTCCTGTTTAAACGTATTTACGCGAACTGAAAAGCGGAGTACCATCGTACACATGAATTGACGCCGACAACAGTGCGAGTCGATCCACCAATTTAATTAAAGAATGAACTCAGGGGCGGGAAAACAGACATACAACCCACCTAACCACAAGTTGGTATCCGATTTATATTATTGATATTTATATATTATTTCCCAATTATGGCATATCAGAACCTGTCTTTGTGAGTTTATCACGAGTAAAGAGCCCCTTATAAAGAAAAAAATGAGTCAGTTTGATCACCTGTCCAATGGTAACGTGAGAAGTGGTGCATCAGCCTGAAGTGTTAGGTCCCGGGTTGTGCTCTCAGCACGATAAGTGGACCGGCGAGCATGCACAACAAGGTTGAAACAAGTGTACGGTGTTTTTCGGTCCTTCAGTTCAAATAAATCAATTCTAACTGCCAATGGTACACCGGTATATGAGCCAAAATTAACTACCCCATGTGGGATAATTGGTGCCGGAGCATCCGTTTATTATCCTTGCAACCCTAGGCTATATGAAGCTCCTATCTTCTCTTTGACCCCGCTTCCAACGTTCATTCTACTCTTTTATCCAAGTGAGTAGCTTTAAAACGCCAACCAATTCGTCAATTCGTTGGGTTAGGTCGTATTGTGTAGAATCGATAGTGGAATAAGTATAGAAAATGATTACAGTTGGCTAAATAAAAATCCACTTTTAGGACTTGTGTCACCTTGCAATTTGTGTGTGTGTGTGTGTGTGTGTGTGTGAAGGTAGGTTAGATGTGCAAATACTACTCTGTTCTAAACACAGTTTAAAGGCTTGAAAGACTTACGACAATAGCAACAGACGAAGCATGAGTTGTGATACAAATATCCGAGTGCGTGGCACGCATCTGCCAAATTGTTTATCCGTAGTCCACACTCGGCACATGGCCCGAGCATACGTGAGCCCAAACTGGGAGAAATTGGTGGCGCGTGAGGACTGTCCATGGATAAGAGTGAACCTAAATTCGTCCCTTCAATGCTCAATGGTGACAAAAGATGCTTCTTGTCATTTGCTACTGAAGGAGTAACCTCTCTCTCCTCTTCAGGAGAATAGATGGATAATAGTTTATCTGTTCCAGTCCGTGGCTGGTAGGGGAATGGTGCAGTGAATTTGCTATTCATTGTTTTTAATCCACTTTTATCCGCCCCGCTCGATTGTGTAGATCACAAGTGGTGCATGCATGCGGGTGTGTGGGATAACGGTGGAAAGTACTGCCCAGTTCGTGGGCGAATGCAAGGGTGGGCAAAATTATCCTTGTTCCGTTAGGTAGCAAGCTCAGCAGGTCGTGTATATGAGCCCAACAGAAAAGGCGCGTGCACCCAAATGACCATTCCCCGAATGGAATAAAGACCAGGCTGTCTGGACCTAACTTGTGCGCTGTTGTTAACCAATCAGAATACACTGAAGGTCCTGTAATAGGCGAATTTGATTGGTGCACGCTTCACGAAATTCGTGTGCACTACATACCAAACGGTCTGTGGGCTCTGGTCGCTCTGTTTATTGATCCATTATGCAACGCGTGCCATAGGCTTGGTATGCGCATATTCTGTGTGTGTGTGTGTGTCTGTGTGTGTGTGCACGTGCCGTCAGCTGATCTATCGATTGTTCTGATTGTGCGGCAGGTGTGCGTAGGCACTCACGCCACCGAAACCGCATTTTGTGTGATTCATACACAACAAACAGAGCCGTATGCGGACAGTGTCAATTACCCTCTCTCCATTGCGCTAGGCGCAATATGGCGAAATGCTTCAAATTGGATAAACGTTGGCTAGGCCCGTCAGAACTCATGGTTTTATTCCGTTCTGGTAACTGCAATGGTTTGTCCAGTGATTGTTCGGGTTCAACCGGATGAACTGGCGTACCACAGCTCGAGACCCGTTAACACGAGTAGGCCGAAGTAGGAAATTTTGACGATAAGATAAGTTCACTTGAATGCGATGCGTTTCATGGATATTACCAAACTTAATTCAGTAAATAGCTACCCCGAAGACGTTTGCAATACACGACAGTATGTTTTAATCACTTTATAATGATAATAAGCAATCACTCATAAAGTCGAAAACGTTTATCTTCTTAGGTAACTTCAATCGTGAAAAATATGACCGGTGCTGTTTTTGAACAACCACAAATGCGAATTAGATGCTGTTAATAAAACTCAGAAGAGATTTAGTGCAAAAGGTGCCTCAAGGAGATCGCTTATGTTTGTGTGAGAAGTATCGAACGTTTTAGCATGAAACGCACGGATATACTTAAACTAATGCGAATCGTCAAAGCGGGACTTTCGTTGGTCGTTTGGAGCGAACTATATACAGACCAAAAATCGATTACAGACCGTTTATTGAACTTCTGTTTTCATAATCTGAACACCGACCGAAGTACGGATAATCTGAGGGACTACAGAATGAAGCCATTCAGTATCAGCCATTGTCGTTGTGAATAATCATTGAATAGACTAGCCTGAGATGCTATCTGTCGAACTGATGGCAACATCGACCCGGAACACGATCAGTCGCTGCACTGCAGTACAAGCACTGGATCTTTTATCGTCCACGAACCTTTTGAGATCCCTCCTACGAGCTATGAGCGATTTTTGAAGAAACATGGACTATAGCTACCTGAATCACAATCAATTTTGAAAAGTCGTTTAAGGTTCTTTTATTTATTGTCATTCAATCAAAATAAAGTCGTGGTACACAAACCGAATAGTTTTATGCATATGAAAACAAACTTGAATAGTACTTAAATTTTAACATGATGGAAAATGTTTTGCGGTCAAGTATCAGCTGTATTTAAAAGATCTAACTCGAAATCCTTTATCAAATCATATATAGCTCTAGCTTTTATTGTGTTATGTGTATCCCATGAGACTAAGATGTAATAACTCTTATTTTGTTCGGGTTTACAATGAATACATTCGTTTTGATTTTTTCATATATATATATATATATATTACGGTAAAATAATATTTGCAAAAGAAAATAAGTTTCATGATTTGCATGTGAGCGGAATACTGTAAGGTTGCCCAGGCAAGAACCGGTGAAACTTTAAGTTTATTCTACCACTGACCTTACAGAACTGGATGGGATTAATTGAAATAATGTCAGCAGAAACTCCATTATCTTCTGT